CAGAAGGAACTGAATGAAGCAGGACAAGGGGTCTCTGTCAAGGCAGGCACAATCCTACAAACCAGTGGCTGTAACCTGAACTGCCACCACGTATTTCATGTGGTCGCTCCACAGTGGAAAGTCGACAACAGTGCATGGTCACTGAAGGTAGGACCCAGCTTTACATTCTCCAGGACATGGGGTAGCTCTCTGGACTCCCCCACAGCACACCACAGCTAATCTCTGTCTGCTTCTTTTCTGGGACAGCATCATGAGTTTGGCAAGTTCCATAGCACGACCATTTCTTTTCAATTGTAGATGACTTCTTGTAGGTCATAGTTCATATAGGTCATAGTTAGAAATGTAAGTTGGTTATTGTGCTCAGCAATTACTGATGGTCAGGGAAGGGTTGGGGAATACACTACATTTATGGAGGAAAGGTAAGGTGAGGACTTGAAGCTGGGAGACAGTGATGGACTGGGACAGCTGTGGCTTCCCCTCTTTGCTTATGGTGGAGTGAGTCTGTGCTCTTGTAAGGGTGTCCACGTTCTCTTTCTCATTTCTTCTCCACAGAGTCCCCCTCACACTGCTGCTAACTTTTGTTGAAAGCACAATAGAGTGGACAGTGCTCCCAGGAAAAGCTGCTGAGTGCTTAGTTTTTAGGGTTCCCCATTTCTAAACAGGACATTTTAGGAACTGCTCTGTGCTTTTCAGATCATGAAAAACATCATCAGAGACTGTCTAGGAATCGCTGAGGCACTGTCTCTGCAATCAATTGGATTTCCAGCAATAGGAACAGGAAATCTGGGGTTTCCTAAACCCGAATTTGCTAAATTGATAATTTCAGAAGTGCTCAAATTTAGTAGCATGAACCACCCAAAAGCATTACAGGAAGTTCAGTTTCTGCTGCATCTGAAAGACGTGGAAAACATTCAGGTACAGACTCGGCTTGCTTCTGATCTCTTTGCCAACTGCAGTTCGGGACCTGTGTTCTTCTATGTCTTCTTGTTCTAGTAGGAGGTTTATTTCATGTGTTTTCAGCACAAGAGAGTGTGCTGACTGGTTATATGTAACATGACAATTTTCAAGAAAAAATTAGCTACAGAAGAAAAATCTTCTTCTTATTTGGAAAAGTTTCAAACACACACAAAAGTCCATAAACTAACCTAATGAATTTCTCTGTCTGTTATTCAGCTTCAGCTGCTATTGCCCTGTGACTGGGAGCTTTGGCCTATTTTTCACATGTAATGATGACACACTATTCTGTCTCAAAACAGTTTACCAATTCATTTTGAACTTAACCTTACCACTAAATGGCAGTCATCCTTTATGTGGTTAATGATAGCGTTAATGTGTGAGGTTACAGCTGTCTCATGAATGTCTCTCCATCTCTCCATTATTATGTCTGGATCAGAATCAGATAATTAAGGCTCACACATTGTACTACCCATTATAGAGTCAGGTAAGTAAGGCTCACACATTGTAATGCCCATTTTTTTTCAGTCTATGGGGTTGCTTCTCTTATGAACATAGAAATGTTAATACATAATATCAGGGTACAGTTATGCCATTATCAATCTGAAAATTCCAAAATGGGATGCAGATGATCCAGCCACCATTCTGGAAATGTAATTAATCGTGAGTGAAGGATGTGGCTTGAACACGTCCACATGTGACTTAGGACACTTGGACCAGAAATACTAGAATCATCCTCAGTCACAGTGTGTCACATCAGCTATGGCAATGTGATCCGACTCTAAGGCTTGATTTCTGTTCTCCATGTCTTTGTAATGCAGTAGAGCACATGACCTTAGTGTTAGAACAGTTTCCACAATGTCACAGTAAAGGTAGCGGCCCACAGATGCCTATGGATGGGGCTGTTGGGATTTTGGGGTCCTGCTTCATTATTATGCAAATCTACACACTGCCTATATCATGGAAGCAATCACAGGGAGCCTACATTCTAATTGGGCAGCCTAAGCTCCTGATTCCTTTAGCTTGGATTGTACAACTAGGGTAAGATTTGTTTGTTTGGTTAGGCTTTTGTTAGACAGGTTCTTTCTAAGTAGTTCAGACTGTTTGCCCTCATGGCAATCCTCCTGCATCAGCCTCCAGAATACTGGGATTGTAAGTATGTAACTTGCCCAGCTGCTAAGCATTTTCAATAGCTTCCCTGTGACTTCATGGTGTAAGGTGATGTGGGCATTTCTGAAGCACATGCTCTCCCTTCTAGAAGTCATAACTACTTTAGAAGTTTAGATTTCTGTACACATTATGAACAGGAGGTGGAGGTGCTGAGATTTCTGTGTGATATGAATGTCTGCATGAAAAGGGATGAATCCTGTCTCATAGACTTGAGTCTCCCAGTATTTATTTGGGACGTGTTGCTCTCTCTTCTGTATTCTGTATTCTCTCTCTCTCTCTCTCTCTCTC